TTCACAGCTGTTTCCCCTTGGCCGCCGACTGCCGACCCAGCCGCGGCCCTCGCGCATTCGCCAGCGCAACCACTCCCATCTCTGCAGCCCCCACCGCCCCACGATGCTACCAAAGCCTTTTTCGCACTGTCGCTGGCTCCCATGCTTGCCCCGGCCCACCGCCGCATACGCGCCCCCGCGTCCTCTGCCCCGCGCTCTTTCCTGGGCGGTGGGGGCGCTGGCACGCCCGTGCCTTTTCGTTCTCCTTCGATTTCTATTCCCGCCGCATTCCCATGCACAGGCGGCGCAATCGGCCCGACCCCTGGTCGATTCGCGCCCGTGGCGCTTGCCGTTCGCTGCGCCGCCGTGCTCGACTGCCCCCCCCCCCCCAAAAAAATTTCAACGCGTTCGTACGCGAGCATGTGCACTTTCATATTCTCCTCCGCTTGCCAGTGCGCTGTGTCCGCCGGATGTTCCACGACACTCGCTTCCTCGTCATCTCGCAGACGCCGCTGCTCCTGGCCATCGACGGAGCTCGCGCACGCGGATACATAATGCCCTTGTCGCGCAGTTTCCCCACGATGAAACACACAGCTCCGCAGTGCGTAAATGGCTCCTCCAACGCGCACCTGCCGACATGGCCTCACGTGGTGCGCGCGAAGGATCTCCTTCCCTGCAGACACGCCCCACGTCCATCTTTTCAGCTGCACCCACAAAATTGCTGGCGCCCCCGTCATCCTCATCCTCTTTTCCGCGGTAGCGTGGCCGCGCGCTCGCGGACACTCCCACCTATAATCTTCATCTATTTCCGACGCTCGATAAGCCTCGTCTATCGCGCCCTGCGCAGTGGTAATCCGCGCGCCCTCGTGGGTCAGCACCGGCGCCTCCACGCAGGTTCGCGGCCGCATTTCCTCCACGCCTATCTCCCCATCACATAGCGATGCCCTGCAATGAATCGATTCTGTGTTTGCGTAGCAGAAAGGCACGGCCACCACCTTCGCTCGGTCGGGGCCCAGCAGCTCCATCAAAAATTCGTGGGCATCTTCTTGTGCCTGGCGATAGAACACCTTCGCGACCGCCGTGGCCAGAACGGGCAGGCCCCGCAGATCGCCTGTCATATCGCGCAGAGCGACCCCGAGCAAAGCGTCAAAATTTGGCTCCTCCGAGCGACTCTGGCCACCGCGCCGCCCCCGCTTATGAAAACGCCACCAGTCCCAAGACTTCCCAGCCGCAACCGGGGCTGACCCCACCACGTCTCGCACGATGCGCGGCGCGAACACAGCATGTAACGCCGCGTTGATCCAGCAGTAGTTCTCCGGATTCTGCAATCGTTTCAGCGGGGGGGTCGCCATCGGTTCACCGAGACGCCCAGTTTCCGAACCTTCCGCAACGGCCGGCGGAAAAAAGCGGCCACGCGCGCGCCAACTCCCCCCAAGAACCACAACCATTCAGTCCACACTCCAACGTGGCGCCTTGGAGCGTCGTCTGCGTCAACGCCACGCACTCTTCAAACGTTTCACAGTGGACATTGTCTCTCCAATTGCGAAGGCCATTCCGAGCTGTGGGGGACCCCAACTGGGCAAACAGGACTTGCGAGCACGGGGCTCTCATCCACGCTGGAGACACAAACAGCAACACCACCACCGCGCCGGACAACCGTACCAAAATGAACACCGTCGAACAACTGGACAGGCGGACGCGTGGAAGAACTCCAAAACAGACAGACGGGATGACGCTCGGATAACAGATCAGCAGACGGGCAAGCACACTCACAATTACAAATATGTGGCCGTCGCACACTTCCACACGCAGATGACAAGCCATATCACAAGACAGGACGACACCACACGGAGAGCACATGTTGAAGATTCGCGATGGTAACGGCTCTCCGAAGAGGCACGACGATCGACGACGGCGGCCAGTCTCTGTGCATCTGAAACACTCCTCAAACCATGGCCATGGCGAAGCCGATTTGGAAAACCTTCGACGGCGACACCCATCTGCACGCGCGGGCCCAGGGGCGGGGGATTTGTAGCCCGCCGGTACATCCACTGCGCCACAGCGACTGTGACTAAAAACGTTTCCACGGCGGCGACCGCGAGCACCGCCGCCACTTGTTCGGCGATGGGTGGATACAACGTCAGACCGAGCATAAACCCACAAACAAGCGCGACTAACACCCATACTTTGGGAACAGCGGGCAACGCACCCTCTACAAAGGCCCGTGGCCGCAACCCACACCTGCTCGACGCGACCGCGGACATCACCGCCATACCGAATGCGAACGCCTGCGCCACCATGTCGCCTGCAAACAACAACGTGGCCACCACGACCGTGAGCGGCAACAATGCCACACATACGGCCACAAACGAGCCGACTACGAACACCACCACGCCGACCAGCACACCGACGCTCATAACTGCGAGCAACAGCGCCATCAGGACACCTATTGTGGCCTGCGCCGCCGCCGCAGTAGAAGGCAATAGATAGCTCGCTGAGCGCGGCACGAACGCGGCAAAATGTAGCGCCACACTGGCGGCAGCTAACAGCGACACGACGATTAGAATGGAGATCCGCGCGACTCTGGACAGAAGCCTCACCACCACGTACATCACAATTGCGACTACCACAAACGAGTGCACAACGTGGACAGCAAGCGGCCCCGCCAGCGCCAGAACAACGGCCAGCAGCACCACCACATCGACCAACACGACTGCGATCGATGGTGAACGCTGCGGCGATCAAACTCACGCTACTGGTTCGTATCGCCGTGGATGGAATCGTCGCGCCACGTGGGAATGCTACGACGACCAGGGCAACGCCGGCAGACAAACATTCAAACTGGGGTAACCAGACTCTCGGCACGACAATCGAAGCGTTCCCCAAGACACGATACCCCTCCAACGCAACAACAACAAAATCACGATACGCAAAACTCTTTGATGAATCCCGCATTGGGCAGCCTTCAGCACGTAACCCCTGCTGGTAAGGGGATGCCACGTAACCCCGGGCAAGGGCGACAGCAGGTAACCCCAGCTGCGAAGGGGACGCCTCGGTCATTTCGCCGGTGCTCACTGCACCAAGGGCCATGGCACCCGACGGCCGTGGAGAGGCCCGGGAAGGGGAAACTCCAGCAGCCAATCGAGATGGCTTGAGCCACGGAGCGCGCAGGCATCGCCTCACCCTCCTGGTCCTCCTCCTCCCCCTCCTCCTGTACCCTGTCGAACCTCGAAGTTCGAAGCTCGAGCCTCCAAGTCCCGCCAGCCCTTTGGGCGACAGGCGGTCTAACGAGATTCCTCTTTCCTCTTCCACGACCCCTTCTTCCCCTTCGGGGCGAGGTGTACCCCTCCCCCTACACCCTCCCCTGGACCTGCACGGGAAGGGTCGCGAGGGGTTCGAGCATCCAAGATGGCCCAAGATGGTTCCAAGAGGACCTCCGATGCTCCAAGATTGCCTCCAAGAAGCCTCAAGATAGCGCAAGATCGCTAAAGACGACCTCCATCATGCCTCCAAGAAGCCTCAAGAGGACTACAAGACGGTTGCAAGTGCTCTTGGGGACCTTCCAGGACCCCCCCAACAGTTCAAAATCACTCAGACACCTTATGAAAACTTATGATGTTCCCCTTCTCGCCGTTTCTCTCACGATGCGCTTTTGAGTCCTCAAGGTGGCTCCAAGATGGCCCAAGAGAGTCCGGAGAAAGGCCAAAGAGGCCCCCAAGACAACCCCCAAAGCGCCCAAGAGCGCCCCAAGAGGGCTCCAAGAGCGCCCCAAGAGGCGGTTTGGAGAGCCTCAAAGGGGGGACGGAACGGGACGACCCCCACTCTTGTGATCGATAACCTCCAAAATGGCCCCAATAGACCCTCCAAGGCTCCCAAGAGGACCCCAAGAGAGTTCCAAGAACCCCCAAGAAAGCCCCAAGACACCCTCCCAAGAGCCACAAGAGAACCCCAAGACCCACCAAAAAAGCTCCCAGAGGACCACCCTCCTCTCCTGGCCCAAGTTCATTCGCTCTGTGTGTCTCTTCTTGCCATGTCCCGTCAACCCTCCTGGGCAGGCCTTCTGAATGAGATGGCGGGGTTACGCGAAGCGTGAAGAATTGGAAGTTCGAGTGAGCAGTTCCACCTCTCACGATCGACGGCGGCGGCGGCGGCGGTAACGATGACGACGACGACGAAGACGACGACAACGACGACGACGGAGTCCTCCTGCTCATCGATAGCGAGACCGGCGGCGGAACGAGCGTCGAAGGCAGCAGATATTCGAGCACATCTTCCGGCGACGGTCTGGTCAGGCCAGGGAGGTCCTCCTGGTTGGTGTGGTCTCCGGCCCCTCCCGCTCGAGACCCACCCCGCCCAACGTCGTGAATTTTCCAAAACGCAGACCCCCAGAGGTCTCGACCTTTTCGTTACGACCATTTTTCCATCCCGAATCGTTTTCGACGGTCCAGGGTCCCTTCGATACCCTCCGGAAGCCGAACATTGCCGAAAACCTTCCGTCGCGATTGTTTCACGACGCCCAGGGATCCGGGGACATCTCCAATCTCCCGCCCGTGGAGGCATTGTGGACCTCCTCGTCGGAGGTGGCTCGCTGGTGGTGATGCTGTTGCCTCTCCCCCCCCGGAGTTTCGCAAGCACACGTGGGACGCCCGGCGGTACACGACAACGACGACGACGACGACCAAGACCACGACCACGACCACGACGACGACGACGGGGACGACGACGATGACGACGGCGACGACCACGACGACGACGGGTTTTGGCGACTCTTCGGGATGAGTCCCGCACCTCCATAAAGCAATCTTCGGTGTCGGCCCCGGGACACAACAACGGCCTTCGAAGGCCGAACACAAAAACAACAACTCCTCGGACCTGTGCGCTCGATCCTCGACGAACGCATGACGACGGCGAGAAGGTGCAGCAGAAGAAGAGGTGGGGGCGGAGGCAGGAGGGGAGGTCGGGAGGAGAGTGATACGAAAGAAGGACAGGGGGGGAACAGGAAAAAAAGGTGAAGCGATTTTTGTCGCCGTTTCTCTAATCGCCGCTAGCCCGGCGCCAGTGCCCACGCGCAATATGGGCCTCTTTGGGCAATCATTCATTGTGTTTGCCTGGGCACGTATGAGGGTGAAGCTGCCGTATGTTACTCTTTGGGCATCAACATTGTGTTGCCACGGCTGGACATCTCAATATACGCGGCGAACGTTTTATAATGTCAGAGCTTGTGGGACACACAGTCGAATGAACCACCTTGCACAACACTCGTGCAAATGATGTTCCACGGAGGCTTCGAGAAATGATAAGGGGGCGAAGCGCAGGATGGGAACAATATAGAAGGGGGAGCATGCGGACGAATCCTCCGGAGCCTATCTTGCAGCTCACCAGGAGCCCAACACGAAAAAATCAGGCAGCAGGGGCTCCATCGAACCAGCGTGGCACGACCGCGCTCTAATTCTGCACAAGATCGTGGCTCACGCGTAGCGGTGACGGCGGCGCTTCGTAGAAGCTCCGCTTGCCTGGGAAAGCACTTGCATCGCTCGACCCACCGTCCGCGGTCACAGACTGAAGCTTTGATCACTCAAACGCGACGTCCTTGCCGGATTAGCCTATGAAGGACATGTCCTGACGCTCAACAACGTGGCTAGGTTCGTCCTCCCCCTCACTCTCCGCCGGCGTGCGGTCGCGAAGCGGTAATGATCAGCAAACGCTTGCCGCGCAAGAACCTCCCCACCCTGGCCACGCAACGTGCATAACTCTTGTACAATCGCAGATGCATTTTCGGCACTATTCGAAGCCGACAGAGCATCGACCCACTCCTGCCCACCTAAATAGGAACGGCACTCGCCGATGCTCGCCGCACGGCGCGCAAAAGCGTCAAAGGATGTGCCCTCAGACATCCGCGTGCCCGGATGTTCCAGCATCCGCGGCGCGTAAGGCGTGGGACCCCCCCCCCCCACACACACACACACACACACACACACACACACACTCAACGCTGCTGGACCCCTACGGCTTTCTTAGCGGGGGACGCCACCGTTTCCTTTCGAACCTCCTTCTACGCGCGGGACATTGTGCGGGTCGGGGAACGCCGATTTCGGTAGTCTTCTCTGGCATGCGCCGCTGCACTGGTAACCCTGGTGACTGCGGGCTGTGAACCCGAGGTCCTTGCAGCCTCCGCACACCACTTTGGCTCCTTTCGCCTTTCGATGATCTTCCACTTGATTAGGCTTCAAATGTTTCGTGTCCGAGAACGCTTCTCCGCACGCCGCGCACGTCAGCGGCTTCGCGTCCGCCTCCGTTTTCCGTTTGCGATTCGCTGCCTCCACATTCCCCCGTCGCACCTCGTTCTCTCGTTCTTCCGCGCATTTCCGACAAAGCCTTTCCCCCGCAGCATTGTGCTTCTTCTGAGCTTCCGACATCCCCGCCCCCTCTTGCAACTCCGACAGGCAGTCTCCGCTTGCACTCCCCCTCTAGCAACTCCGACAGTCGCCCAGGGGGAGGGGGGAACATCGACATGGAATCGGCGATGCATCGCCGATATGTCGGCGACAAGCCCCCTCGATTGCGGTCCACACGTTCCCGGGTGGGTATCAGACCCCAGTCGAACATCAGTGGGCGATTGGGGCTCGACGCGTTCCCCCCTGAGCCTATGCCCCCCGAGCGTCTCTTGGCCCTGGCCCAGGGATGGGGGCGTCGCTGAATGGAGGGGGGAGCGACGCAGGGGAGGGGGGAGAACGGTGCACTTCTCGGGCCCCCAAGGCCCCCTTTGGGGCCCTGAAGTGCACCTTTCCTGCAGCCTTCGCTCCCCCTTGCGCGAGGCCCCAGGGAGGGGGACAGCTCGAAGAGCCGGAGGCGGGATTTCCACCACAGCTCAGGGCCCCTCCGCGCCCCCGACAGCGGCACTCCGTGCGTCCCTGGCCGGAACCGGGGGCGGGGGCGAGGCTTCGGAGGCCCTCGACGCGGGCGGTGGAGCGCGGGCAGCTGTCTTAGATCCCAGCCCCAATGAGACGAGGCCAGGACGAGGACCATAACATCGGGCGAGGATATATCGAGAATCTCTGCGATCCGGCGGCTCTGGAGAATGGCGCAGGCGCCGCGACCTTCTCAGAGCGTTCCGGAACGCTCTGAGAGTCTTCCGGAATGCTCTGGAACGGATTTATCCTGTTAGCCCGTCGAACAGTCGCGGCACATTTGGAAAAGATGAGTCGGACACCCAAACATATCCACTGCCGCAGGGGAGCTTCTCACAGCCCTCCGTGAGGAGGCCGATGCAACTCCTCGAAGCGGCAGTGTTATTAAAGAGGCGACCCAGGTTAACAACAAAAAAAAAAAAAAAAAAAAAAATTAAAAAACAAAAACAATTATCACCACGTTGGTCGGGGGGGGGAACGACGTAAGTCCGCTGTTGTCGTCATCCAAAGCTCTGCCTGATGCAATGTTGACTGCTCGCGCGAACTTCAAATGCAGATTTGTCTAAGAAGCCCCCGCTCCGGCTTGCTTCGAAGCCCAGCTGGAGAAAGCTGCTGGCAATGGATAGCCATGTATGGAAAAAACTCTCTGGTTCGAGAGTGGTACAAAACGGAGCAGGGGATGATAGCATACGATACATGGTGGAAGCAAGGAGAAAACCACCCATCTCAACTCCCATCTCACACGATGAGAATGCACCCCTTCGCATCGTCGCCGAACATCCGCTCAAATGTGACTGATGCGCAGGAGAAAGCGCATTGCGATTGATCGCGCGAAATAGATTACGTGCCACAGCGTGCCCGCTGCTGGCTACTCGGACTTCCAGTTCTCGCAGCACATCTGCACAATCCGCCGACCCCTTTGGGTCACGGAATGTGAGATGCTTCCCCCTTTCCAAACCCCTCCCCCGGGAGCCCGGTCGGGCCGGAATGGAGGGGAGGGGGTGGAGGGCAAAGGTGTCGGCCGCGCCCTTGGAGCCTCAGGGGGCCCAAAACGGGCAAGAGGGCCCCCAAAGGCCCCCCGGACGGTCCAAGAGGGCTACGAGTCGCCGAGAGATCGCTCCAAGACGCCCGGGACTGCCTCCAGACGGTCGCGGAGGCCCCCAAGACGCCCCAAGAAGCCACCAAGAGGCGTCCCAATAGGCCCTCCAGAAGCAAAATTCGTCCCATTTCCTGCGGAAAACGTATAATTTTAGCACATTCGCCCCATGGGCTCTCACGACGCCCACAACGGCCCAAGATGCCTTTAAGATCGACCCAAGATAACCCAAGAGGCCCCCAAGAGGGCTCCAAGACGGCCCAAGAGGGCCCCAAGACGGCCACAGCTGCTTCCAAAACGACCCAAGAGGGCCCCAGGACGACCCTAAGAGGAGGCCCAGAGGGGAAACCCGAGTGAACATTTCGAGCACTCGGCCCCGAAAAAACCTGAGGTGGCACCAATAGGCCCCCAAGAGGCTCCCACGAGGCCCCCGAAGCCAAAAAGCAGAGCCGCGATCTGCCAACCGCCCCCAACGAAATCCCAAGAAGCTGAAACCCCAAGATTACCCAGAAATCGTTCAGCTCGAAGAGCCGGAGGCGGGATTTCCACCACAGCTCAGGGCCCCTCCGCGCCCCCGACAGCGGCACTCCGTGCGTCCCTGGCCGGAACCGGGGGCGGGGGTGAGGCTTCGGAGGCCCTCGACGCGGGCGGTGGAGCGCGGGCAGCTGTCTTAGATCCCAGCCCCAATGAGACGAGGCCAGGACGAGGATAACATCGGGCGAAGATATATCGAGAATCTCTGCGATCTGGCGGCTCTGGAGAATGGCGCAGGCGCCGCGACCTTCTCAGAGCGTTCCGGAACGCTCTGAGAGTCTTCCGGAATGCTCTGGAACGGATGTATCCTCGTCCTAGCCCCGTCCGACACAGTCGCGGCACCCATTTGGCAAAAAGATGAGCTCGGACACCAAACAATCCACTGCCCCTCAGGGGAGCTCTCACTGCACCCATCGAGGAGCCGATGCAACTCCCTCGCAGCGGCAGTGTTATATAGAGGCCGACCAGGTTAATATCACCACGTTCGGTCGGGGGGAACGCACGTAACTTCCCGCTGTTGTCGTCATCCAAGGCTCTGCCTGATGCAATGTTGACTGCTCGCACGAACTTCAAATGCAGATTTGTTATCATCTAAGAAGCCCCGGCACCGGCTTGCTTCGAAGCCCAGCTGGAGAAAGCTGCTGGCAATGGATAGCCATGTATGGAAAAACCCCTCTGGTTCGAGAGTGGTACAAAACGGAGCAGGGGATGACAGCATACGATACATGGTGGAAGCAAGGAGAAAACCACCCATCTCAACTCCCATCTCACACGATGAGAATGCACCCCTTCGCCTCGTCGCCGAACATCCGCTCAAATGTGACTGATGCGCAGGAGAAAGCGCATTGCGATTGATCGCGCGAAAAAGATTACGTGCCACAGCGTGCCCGCTGCTGGCTACTCGGACTTCCAGCTCTCGCAGCACATCTGCACAATCCGCCGACCCCTTTGGGTCACGGAATGTGAGATGCTTCCCCCTTCCCAAACCCCTCCCCCGGGAGCCCGGTCGGGCCGGAATGGAGGGGAGGGGGTGGAGGGCAAAGGTGTCGGCCGCGCCCTTGGAGCCTCAGGGGGCCCAAAACGGGCAAGAGGGCCCCCAAAGGCCCCCCGGACCGTCCAAGAGGGCTACGAGTCGCCGAGAGATCGCTCCAAGACGCCCAGGACTGCCTCCGGACGGTCGCGGAGGCCCCCAAGACGCCCCAAGAAACCACCAAGAGGCGTCCCAAGAGGCCCTCCAGAAGCAAAATTCGTCCCATTTCCTACGGAAAACGTATAATTTTAGCACATTCGCCCCATGGGCTCTCACGACGCCCACAACGGCCCAAGATGCCTCTAAGATCGACCCAAGATAACCCAAGAGGCCCCCAAGAGGGCTCCAAGACGGCCCAAGAGGGCCCCAAGACGGCCACAGCTGCTTCCAAAACGACCCAAGAGGGCCCCAGGACGACCCTAAGAGGAGGCCCAGAGGGGAAACCCGAGTGAACATTTCGAGCACTCGGCCCCGAAAAAACCTGAGGAGGCACCAATAGGCCCCCAAGAGGCTCCCACGAGGCCCCCGAAGCCAAAAAGCAGAGCCGCGATCTGCCAACCGCCCCCAACGAAATCCCAAGAAGCTGAAACCCCAAGATTACCCAGAAATCGTTCCGCAAACTCTGTTTTTCCTTCTTACTGCCGCCCCAAGGGGTCGGCGGTGCGGCGTCAGCCAATGAATCTTCAGGGCGGGACCCCTTGGGAAGAAATGCAAAAACTGAGTCGTTCAAATCAAATGGAACAGGGTCCCCTCGGAAAAGGTGAAGCATAAGATCGTGCAGCGCGCCCAGCTGCTCAGGGAAGGCGGCCCAAGCTTGATAAGTGAACCCGTCTGGGCCTGGAGCGGTGGCACGAGCTCGTTCGAGGGCCCTGTCCAGGCCGGCGCGAGACGGGATGGGAAGGCTGGCGATGTCAGAACCGTCCGCAGGGAAGTCCAAGCTCTCTGGGTCCACATGGCTGCCTCTCTGGGTCCACATGCCTGCCCTGGAAAACCCTTTCCCAATGAGACGATCGCGCAACGCGAATATCCTCGCTCGAGCGGGCGACCGGACTATTATCTGCATCGCCCGCGAGCGCCTCAGGACGGACACCGTGCAGCACCAAGGAGCTACCCCGTGGCTGCCATAGCTTAGCCTTCCTCTGCAACGAGCGCTGGAGACGACGAGCGGCTTCAACCGACAGACCGTCTCCAGCCAAAGTCGCCTGCTGGGCTAGCGCGGCAGCGCGGGACTGGCGGCGCGACAGAGCAGCAGCACTAGTGTCTTTGAAAAGTGCTCGAAACGTTTCAGGTTCAAGGAGGGAGAGGTTCGAAGGGGAGAGGTGGAGAAACCGGGCACCTAGAGCAGTCGTGGCCTTCAAAGTGGCCCCTGTCTTGAAATCTTGCCTCCAGATGGCTCTGGATATAGCTCTAAGGGTGACCATGCGGGCTTCGAGTGCATTAGGGTCCTGCGAGGTCAGTGGGAGGCCTTGGAGCTCATTGCGGGTCTCCCGGGCGGCTTCCCACATGAACCCCTTAGTGTACTGCCAACGAAGCACGGCTGGAAGATGGCGAATATCGGCGGCGGCAAGCAGTGCGGCGAGTTTCTCGCGATAGCGGGGATCAAGGAAAATAAATTCGGGGATCCGGCGCTCAGATTTTGGACCCATGCCCCGGTTCTGAAACGTGAGGGAAATCAACGCATGATCGCTCAAACGAGTATCAGACATCTGGCATGGGTCCACATGTACCTCCATAGCCGCATCAACCTCGAGCATAAATTCCGCTGGCGTTCCCAAGAACACCCGATCCAGAGCGACAGCTGTGAAATGGTGTCGGCAGAAATGCGTCGGAAGATCTGTTGTGACTTCCGTTGCAGCTTGTATGAGCGGGCGCCAAAATCTGGCCAGCGGCTGTGCGCGCGTGTCCACGGCGAGGCGTGCAGTCGCGGGCTCCGGGTTCTGGTAGCTGAATGGCGGCCCGGAGGACAGGTTGGAGTCCCCAAGCGCCACGATTGTCCTCTGAAGTGGAGCTGCACGGCACCACGAGAGCAAACCAAGCCAGCTTTCCAGGACAGCGTGCAGTCGGTCCGCCGGCAACTCGTAGTTGTGCACGTTCATGATGGCCATGGAATAGTGCGTCTTAGGATGTGTGACGTGCAAAACCTGCACCCGGCCAGGAACGAGAACTTCATGAGAAATCTGTGGTGCGTCATCGTTTGGTCTGGCATCTTCGTGTGCAGCAGAAATCCACGGAAGGAGAATTGCTACACCACCAGCACCAGGTCTTCCCGTGCTCGAATGGAAAAGCTTGTAGTGGTACGGTGATCCTTGTAAGAGTACTTGAATCTGCTCGGTCGAATCATGAGCTTCTTGAATCAAAATCGTTGCTCGGTCCTGCATGTGAGTGGCAAGCCGTTTGAACTTCGCCCGGCGGCGTCGGACATCCAGGCAAGCCAAACCACGAGCATTCCACGAGACAATGCGGCCGCCATGTTTCACCGGCGACCATTCCCATGGGCACCAGCGGCTGTTAAACACCCCACCCATCGGCGGTGGTGTCCACGGCGTTGGAGAGCTTCTTGAAGGCCTCGGTGATGACAGTCTTGTCAATCTGGTACTGGGAAACCGTGGGGCCGTGCCAGATGAACTTCGTGGTGTCGTCCACGCCTTCCACCTGTAGTACCACAAGCGGGACGCCCGCCACCAGGACAATACCCTTGGCGCGCTGGAACGTGAAGTCGAGGCCGCGGTGCCTCTCCTCGAGGAGCCGATATGCTCTCTTGGTGTGCAGCTCGAGCCGAACCTGGCGTGGAGCTTTGTCGGGGCCGACAAAGAGCGGGGTTTGGGCGCCTTGCGTGTTCTGCGCCGAGAAGTTGCGCCAGCCGGTAGGCGTCCGGAGTGTCTGCGCCAGCGCGAGCGCCAACGGCTTCGCCACCTGCATCCCCCCCTTGGCGCGGAGGAAGAACCTGCGGCTGGGGACGTTGCCAACCAACTCCACCTGGTCCATCGTGACGTTGGAGTCCGCGATCCACTGCTGGAGGTTGCGGAGGAACTCCGAAGGCGCGATTGCAGACGACGCGCCAATCGAGAACAGCGTCGGGTCCGCCTGGCGTTCCCAGTTGGCCAGCTTGGCAGTATCGAACACGGGTTCGTCTGCCTCCGCCAGCGCGATGGTGCGCTCGAGGCGGTGCACCACGTCACGAATGCGATCCTGTTCCTTCTCCTGCTCCTCCTGGCGCTTGCGGAGATCACGAACCTGATGCAACTGGTCGTCGAGACGGGCATTTGTCTGCCGGACCTGATCGAAGCAGAGCCGCATGTTCTGGCTGAATTCGTTTTGGGCCTGCTTGAGGGTAGATGTGCAGACGGCTTGTAGCTTCGATGTCGTGGATTCCACCTGCTTGTCGAACATCTCTTGCAATTTCTGGTCGAGCTCCGTACTTGACGGAATACGGCCGCCCCAGGGGTCTGCTGCGCCAGGCTGCTGCCATGGGTCTGGTTCACCAGAAGCGCCGCTGGCACCGGAGGGAAGGACTTCCGGGGAGGGGAACGTCGGGGCCGCGCTGAGCGCTGTGTATGTGCCCTTGCTCTTACCCTTGATGGCCTCCTGTACGGGGGGCGTGGGCATAGCGTCGAGCATTGCCAGAGTCGCTGCGGCGGCTGCAGCACGGCCATCGGCGAAGTCTGCAGCACCTCCTCCACCACCATCACCACCATCGGCGGGGGAAGCGTTTGCAGCTTCAGGGCGCACGTCCCGGCCTCCCCGGCCGGCTGCGCGTTCACGGGGATGCTTCGGTTGACCTTCAGCACTGCTCTGTCCGTGGCGTGGAGACCTGGATGTGCGCTGCCGGCCATCCAGGGCGGCGTCAGGATCGGCGCCACGAGCTGCCATGGCTGCGGCGCGGAGGCTGCTAGCACAGAGACGGGAAACTCTGAACTGCGGGTGACTGAATGTAGTAGGCCGAGAGCCCAAGTTGAAAGCACGATGGTGCAGCAAAGAAGATTCAATGTATGCCGTGGGGACCGGGTGTGGGCAGCCGGAACCAACTCCACCCCTCGCCCCACTGACATCTTGAGCCGTAGGAGGAGGAGGAGGAGGAGGAGGAGGAGGAGGAGGAGGAGGGAGGGAGGAGGAGTGGGGGATGAGGAGGAGGGGAGGGAGGAGAGGAGGAGGAGGAGGGAGTCCAACGAGAGAGGGGATCAGGGCGCGAGGGCCGAACGAGAGGTCCAGGACTGGCTCGCCGACAGCCCTGGAAAAACGAGCCGGACGAGCCGACGCAACGAAGGCGTCACCGAGACTTTGGCTGCCCGTGCCCTGGCAGTTCCGCCCCACAAGCGACCCCCGAGACCTGAGAAGGGCCCTGTGCTGCCGCCTGCCCCCTGGCCAACCGAAGGAGGAGGAGGAGGAGGAGGAGGAGGAGGAAGAGGAGATGAGGGAGGAGGGAGGAGGAATGGAGGAGGGGAGGAGGAAGGGGGAAGGAGGGGGAGGATGCGGAGGAGTAGAAGGGAGGAGGAGGAGGGGAGGAGGAGGAGGAGCATGGGGTAGGAAAGGAGGAGTGAAGGAGGAGGAGGAGGAGGAGGAGGAGGGGCGGAGTAGGAGGAGAGGAGGAGGAGGAGGTGGGAGGAGGAGGTAGGTAGAGGGGGAGAGGGGGAGGAGGATGAGGGAGGAGGAGGATGGGAGGGAGGAAGGAAGTAGTGCAGGGAGGATGAGGTGAGGAGGAGGCGGATGATTATGAGGATGATGGGGGGGGGAGGAGAGGAGGAAGAGGAGAGGGAGGAGGAGGAGTATGAGGTGGAGGAGGAGGAGGAAAGAGTAGGAGGAGGAGGAGAGGAGAAGGAGGAGGGAGGAGAGGCAGGATGGTTAGGTAGGGGATGAGGTGTAGGATGAGGATAGGAGGAGGAGAAGAAATAAGAGACAGTCAGAGGGATGGTAGGAGAGGAGAGTATACAGTAAAAGTGCAAAGGTCGCGGTCGGGAAAGGCATCATTCCGCAGGGTTCCGCCCCCTCCCTGGCAGGCCCTCGGCCCCGTCCCGATACGCCGGGGACCTGCTCCCGCGGCCCTCGGCGCCGGTGGGCGCGTCGTGCGTGAACGTGCCCAGAGGTTGAGAAGGACTGACGTCCTCATCGTCGTCGCGAAACCCCACCACCGTTTTTTCTGCTTCCGATGCTGCCGATGCGATCGTCGCTGCTTCTGTGCCCTGCGGGGGGGCTCCGCGGCTGCCGGCAGGATGCCCACGCCTGGCGTGCGGAGCCCACCTGCCCAGGCAGGCTTCTGATCCGTCCCGAAGTTCGCCCAGGCCCAGGCCGTCGGCGGACTCGTTCGCTCTCCAAGGTTGGAGGCCCGAATTGGGATCGGGACCAGGCCTTGCTACACGTCGGTCGGAAGAAGCAGGTAGAAACTTGAAATACGCAGGCGGATCAAGCGGACTGGGGCCGGGCCCCCCCAGGGAAGAACAGAACACAGCAAAAGCGTGCCGATTTTTGAAGTAGGAAGGCGCTTGAAGTAGATTGGGATCTGGGAATCCAAAAGTACCTACTTTCAACGACCGGCCTTGCTACAGGTGGCGGTGGCGGTGGTGCCGCCCCCTGGCCTTCCCTCGTCCAAATGAACCACTTGAGCTGTGCTGGCCCGGTCGCTGCCGTCGGGGTCCAGCTCCGCATCGGTCACGAAGCCATCTTCACCGCGATCCGGAAGCCAGGCGAGGGCTGCTAAATCCGTGGCTGTCAAAATCGACCTCCGGGAGACTGTCTTCGTCCTTCCGACAAGGAGCCCGTTGACTGTTTCGCGTGCCGCGCCTCATTCCGGGAAGTTGTCCTTCCCTTACGGGAGGGCCGTTTTAGCAGCCACGGTTTTAGCAGCCCTCGCCCAGCTTCCGAGTGATCTCTGTCTGTCTCTCGTTCATGATTTTGTTAGTTGCTGTTCTGTCTCTTTCTCTCTCCCTCTCTCCCCCTCTCTCTCTCGACTCCCTGCATATCGATCAGATCTGGCCTGGTGCGGCACGTCCCCTCGGGCTGATCGTTGCCGCCATCCATACGACGTGGGATTATCCGCGCCATGCAAAAGGCGATCTCGTCGCATGTGTTCTTGGTATTTCGCTTGGCTGCCCCTTGCATGCGCATGCGATACTGGGCCTTCAGGAACTGGAGAACCCCACCTCGGTGGTTTACGTGCGTCCCGCCATGTCGTAAGTCGTGCCTGTCCCCCTACATGGGGATTTTGAACGAAAAATTAAACACTGTCACACAATAAGGTGCAATACTCAACAATGGTCAAAAAATCGTCCCCATACTATTTTTTGACTATTTTTGAATTTCCCTCCTGTAGAGGGACAGGACCGACTTAAGCCATGTCCTGCGCAACAGCGTTCGGCTTGACCGGGTCGTCAGACGGGTGACTGGGGGCCGCCACACGCAGATATGGGGGGGGATGCCTCGCGGCTGCTGCCCGACCGATGAGGTTGTTGACGTCTCGGAGAGGGCTGCCTCGATGTGCTGCGTTGTCCTGGTCGGCCTTGCCGCGATACGTCCCGCCGCTGCTGTATACAACGTCCCGCTGGTGCCCCGAGCGAGATCTGCAATATACATGCCGGCCTACGCTGTGGGCGCCGTATTGACAGCGCCATTTGGGTATCGAAATCTTCGGTGGCCTCTGAGCGCTGTGATACGGCATGATAAAAGCCCGCTGCGGCTCCTTGCCGCACAAAATGCTATGGCGCTGGCTCGCTCGTGGCGGGCCTTCGGGTACCAAGAAGCCTTTGGCACATTGTCTCTGGACGAGAAATGGATCGTGGAGGCGTACGGAACCACTCACGGGGATCAAAGGGCACAGACGTGTGGCTGGGGTACGAGAACCCAACACACCTGTGGAAAGAGCTCATACGAGCTTTCATGGGCCCACTCGAAACCCAAACCGTCCTTCTCCACGTCCTCCACCTCCTCCTCCTCATCCTCCTCCTCCTCCTCCTGCTCCTCCTCCTCCTCCTCCTCCCTCCTCCTCCTCCTCCTTCTTCTTCTGCCTCAGCCCAAATCCCTGGTGGGAGGGATGGCCGCCCTCTCAGTACTCGTTGAACAAGACACTCCGCCAAAACCTGCTCAATGAGTCCGTGCATGATTCCAGAGCAAGCAATTCTGCAGTAAAGGAAGACACTGGTGTTGATAAGAAAATACCTCGTCTTGCCAGTAGAACACATTCACCGTCAATTTCAGCTTCGAACAACCACGCAGCAGCCGAGCATTGATCTTTCCTTGTGCCGCCGTCGAAATGCATGACGAAATTTGCGTCTCGAGCGTCCCGTTCTGGTGGGAAGATATCGTGCCAAGAACGCTGTGTGTCCATGGTGTAGTTCACAAGGTGGTCCGCCTTGCGGTTATAACACCGACGACGCCAAACAACAAGATCTTGATGTAGAGCTGGCGGTGACAAGCCGGTTTCCATCAACCATGCGATATCCCGGGATAGTCTTTGGAACACTGGCTCAAGCGTCGGATTCGCGAGGGGAGACCGGCCCATCGCCACTTCGACCAAAGGCTGACAATCGGAAACACAAACAAAGCGCTTTCCCTGACCACTCCATCTGAAAGGTCTGCTTTCGCACCCAAGTTCTGCGTGAGACTCCGGGCAATTGTCCAACGTGTGTTGGGTCTTCTTGCCGTGTCCGTTTCTGCCAGCCCGCGCGACGACGTTTCCCACTTGCTCTGGCACGCCGGGGGTCCAGCAACATAAGGGTGGCCCATGCCGCTCGCAAGCAATGCGCGCAAATTCCCAGAAATGAGAAAGCCACTCTCTCTTGCTAGAACAGGCGCTCCGCCGATCAGCTCTCCAATTCACACCGAAAGCTTCACAGAAAATGTCCTCCCAGTGTGTGAAAGTGCCAGCAAACGCGTGTAACATGTGTTCTCGCCTGCGTCTCGTGTACTCCCCGCGGTTCTTGAAATACTCCCACCAACTTCTATCTCGAAATGTCCTGCTCTTGCTCAAAAATTAATGCCTCCGACGGTGGGGTACGACAACTCCCGCCACGCGTGCGTGTAGACGGCCTTCAGCACACGTATATGCAACGGTTGTTTCCGAAACTTCTGGAACAGCTGCTGCATCCAACCCGATGTACGCGAATTGTATGTCATCGGGGTGTCGTCTGGTCTCCGGCGCCACCCAAAGATCTTTCGCAGAAAGCTCCATTCCCATGTCTTCAGTCGCGTCAAGATTGCTTTGTTCAACTGCCAAGAACAGGATCCAAACATCGCCGACGTAGTAGGTCCCTGACACCAAGCCTGGAGTTTTGCTTTGGCTGGCGCTGGGCCCTTGAAGGCCTGAACGTGCTTCCAATACAAACCTTCAGCTTTGCACAATCTGTGTTCCAAAGCTTCCGCTGTGCGACCGTCCGCTGATAGCCGAACGCCCAACGCCTGCATCGAAGCCTCCCTCTTGAAGACCAGCGGCTCCGGAACAAAGACGCATATGTCATCCCAGTCCGAATCTTTGGACGGGCCGCATCCCAAAACCTCCAAAGAAGAAGCCTTCCATGTAAGTCCGTGCTTGTACATGGCGTCCGTCACATTTTGCGCCATCAATTGAAACTCCACAACGCTCCCAGCTAGCAAAAACATGTTGTCAGCCCAAACGAAATGCGACATAGCCTCCGAATCGTCGTCGCCGAACTTGAAGCCACGACCGTCCGCCCTCCACTTGTCCACGACCGGCTGCATAATGAACTCAATGAGGTAATTGAACAATGGTGGTGTCTCAATGCCCCCTTGCTTGCCACCAGCGAAAATCGGAAATCTGTCGGACGGCTCAGCTCCTGGTATCGTGATGCGGCCCTCCAGAAAGGACAACTCGCGAAGCACAGCCCGAACGACGTTCGCATGCACGTTTCTCTTCGCCATTGCTTCCTGCAGCACCGAATGCCGAATACTTTCGAAAGCGAAACGGACATCCATAGCGCCCAAGATCAAAGACAATCCCCAGTGGTGAGAAACTGCCGTAGTTTGATGCAGGACCGAAGTGATGTCATCGCTCCCACACCCCACTTTAAAACCAAAGGTCGCCACTGAACTGCTTGGGAGCGTTTCCGAAAGGGCCAGCCGCATGCTTCTCATGTACCACTTTGACAAGCAATCTTGTTTTCCAATGTAGCGGAAATCGTCAAATACAATTGGCTTGGGAATCTTAGGCAAACAACAGAACTCTATAAGACGCCACGTTTGGATATCGGGGGTGGTGCCAGAACGATACCGCTGCCTGAAGAGGCGCCACATATGATGTACCATTGAATACGGTAATGCATGGTACAACTCAGGAGGAGCGCCATCGGCACCAGCAGACGTATCTTTCTTCAAACCCGCTCTTCCAGACAACGTGTCGAAAAACGATAGTTCAGGAGGGGCGCAACCGTCAAGAATCATATGTCCAGCAACACTGTCCAACACGTGGAGTCTGGCACTTTGAACGTCCGCCTCGTTGTCAGCATCCGCAAAACGATTCGTACCAAATGCATGTATTGCCTCCCTCCATCTCTTCCTGTCACCCGTCAACTCCCCGTCCACTTCAAGCCACATCGGCAATGGGTGAGCAAGCCGATCACAATTGATAGCCGCCAACTTCTTCTCGTTCAGCTGCCGGCGCATCTTTTTGCGTGCCCGGCGAAACTCCCTGACTGACTCCTGCCGCTCCTCGTTCGAAGCGTTCGCCAACTTGCGACGCACAGTCCGGAGAGGTTCCGAAATCGATCGAGACCGCGTGTTGCGACGTTCCTTGGCTGTGTCGTGGTCGATGGATAAAGCAATCTGCAAAAAAACCAGCCTGAGCTGTAGGTAACTGCGCCTCCAAGAAGCTGAGAGACTTGATCTTGTACACCTCCAGGGCTTCCTCAGAACGAGGGCGCCACCCAACCAGAGACTGCGCATGCGAGACGCGAAACTGACTTGCAAGAGGTAGACGGTAAAATCCCAAAATAGGTCTATGATCCGAGCGAGAAAACAATTTCCCTGAAAATTTCCGTACGTAAGCGTGGCCCGATAAACCAGCAGAAGAACATAGATAATCTATCTGCGATTTCGTCTCTGGATGGTGTTTTTGTTTACGAGTCCACAAAAGCCGGCCAGGGATGCTTCCGGAGGTGCCTACGATATGATTCCGGCACGTGTTGTGCGCCGTGACACCCAGCGCCACCATCCAAGATGCAACACTTCGCATACGAGGTAATTCATGGTGCACCCGGTCCCGGTAAACAGCGTCGCCGGCGATCGACTCGAAGTTTTCCGAAAACTGGACGTTCGCATCGGTGCCAACCACCACGTGAAAGTCAATCGAAGGATGCTCATGCCGAATGTCGTGCACGAAAGAAAGAGATTCTTGAAACAGCACCTCGGCCCGACCACCCTCTTCAAGATGATCAAGCACGTGCGCCGATATAAAAACTATGTCATGCACAACGACTCCACACCAATAGTCCCCATGCGAAAACCTCCTGCTGGCTTGCATCCAAGATCTAGGAATAATAAAAGCGCAGTCACAATTCGCTGCAGACATGATGGTGTGCGAATTATAAGTGAAACCGTCCAGCGACCCCCACATAGGAACCTCCTGCAAGCATGCAACAAAATCTCCCAGAAAATTCCGGAACTCTTTGCAAATCTTCGCAGCTGCTGTACGGCCCTTTTTGGCCGTATTCCAAGAGAGTATCGACATGGACGCGAGGTCGTGGGAAGCAGTGCCTCCTCACCCGCGCCGGAAGGCGCGGAGCTCCTTGTTCATCTGCTCCCCGGTAATGCCGAACGCCGCCTTGACGTTCACTTCGTCCCAGGTGACGTCCCCGTTCCCGTCCACCACGCCCATCTCCACCTCCTTCCCGTTCCCCTTGCTGATGCAAGTGAGGATCCAATGGGGGCTGTATGAGCAACTGGCGAAGGTATTGGGGTCCTTGCTCTGCGTCTTTTTAGTGAGATAGGCCTTTGCCTTTCCAACTTTCTCGTATTTGACCTGTTCAAGGGGGGATCTCTCCACAGCCGTCCACAAAGAGCGCCCCTTGTATTTGAAATCCTCGTCCTGCAAGAAATCTTTGAAAATCAATGAAATCTCAACCGCGTACGGGTGCTGCACATGAACTTTGATCTTGTTTGATTTGCTCCCGAAGCATTCGAAGTCCCCGACCTTCTCCTGGAGCGACTGCGGCAACTTCTCCTTAAGCCTACTCAAGAACTCCTCGGCCTCTAAACGAGAAACTCCCAGCGTCTTCCGATCGTCGTAGGTGCTGAAGTTTTCGATGTTGAAAAATGTGGGGATGAAGCCTTTGGACGCCTGCTGGTTTCCCAACCCCACCGAAGATGACGCATCTGCCCCGGGCGATCGAGATGCCGACTCAAGCTTCTCGATTCGCTTGGTATGGTCGTCCACCTTAGTTGTTAGGGCCTGGATGTCCTTCTTCACCGGCTCGAACCCCTGCCTGACCGACTGATCCATCCTCATCACCTCCTCCTCCTCCTCATCCTCATCCTCCTCCTCCTCATCCTCCTCCTCCCTCCTCGCAACCCCCGCCTCCCGCTTCCTCCCTCCCGCCTCCCGCATCCCGCCTCCCTCATCCCGCCCCTCCCCCGCGCCTCGTCCGTGAAAGCCGTGAGCCCCTCCGCAAAGGTGACCGTCTTCGTCAGGAGCGCGACGGCAAGGGCAACCAGCGTGGTGGGTGCGGGCGGCAGCGGGCCTGCGCCGCAGGAAGAGGACGACGAGGAGGAGGCTTAGGAGAATAGGCACCGATGAAGGGGCCCTGGGGCACATAAAATAAGTACACACAAATAATCAACAGGATTCCCCATATGTTCCCACATTTCCTGGGTTTTTGTCTTTCCCCCCCACTTCCCCTATTTTCCCATATGTTCTGGGGAATCGCCGATTAATTGTGTCTGTGTGTGTGTTTCTTTCCCTCCTGAACCGAGACCGCAAGTGGTCGCTCGTCGCAACGGCTTAATTTGGATCGGGGGAGCGCCGGCTCAGAATCTCCAAGACAAAAGTCTTGAACGCCCCAGAGAGCTCAAAAATAGCTCAAACCAGATCTTGCCCCGCGGAAGTCTCCCAGAAAAGCTCCCGGAAAATATCCTGGGAAATCTTCCCCCTCGGAAATCTCCGTGGCAAAATCTCCTGGAAAATTCAGCCCCTCGGAAATATCCTGGAAAATCTCCTGGGAAATCTGGCCCCTCGGAAATCTCCGTGGAAATTTCTTGGAAAATCTTGGCCCTCGGAAGTGTCCCAGAAAGTCTCCTGATAAATCTCCTGGGAAATCTTGCCCCTCGGAAGTCTCAATGGAAATCTCATGGAAAATCTTACCCCTCGGAAATCTTCCGGAAAAGCTCCTAGGAAATCTCCCGAAGCAAATGTCCAAAGAGGCTTCCATTTAAGATATCCTATACGTCGTTCATTTCTCATCGTGCCCATTTCTGATTGTGCTCGTTTCTAATTGTTTCTGGCCACCTAGTGGCCAGGAAAAGGCCCAGGATAGAACAACTAGAAATGTAAGGATCTTGGCCCCCCAAAAGAACAAAGAACTTTCGAATGATGAGAAATAAACATTGTGTACATCCCAATACATTCTACTCAGTCCTAACACATTAGAATACCCAGAGATTTCGCCCCTCGGAAATCTCCCGGATAATCTTGCCCCTCAGAAATCGCAATAGAAATCTCCCAGAAAATCTTTCCCCTCGGAAGTATCCTGGATAAAATCCCGGGAAATATCCCTGAACAGATTTCCAGAGAGATTTCTTCTGAGAGATCCTACATCCCTGAAGATTCGAATCAATCCAAACACATTCCGGATCCCCCGGAGATTTCGCAGGATTTTCTCGCGCGGGCGGACAGGCCCAGAGAGGTCGCCAGAGATTTCCACCAGAAGGTGGACTCCTGATTTCTGGAGGCTTCGGTTGAGACTTGGCTTGGAGATTTCGCCAGGGGGATCTGCATTGGAGATCTGGGGGGGCCCCAGCACTGCGGCCGGGGTTTATGGGAAGATTTTCGGAATGATTTTTGGCCAGAATCGTTTCGGGAATGTTATCAAGACTCCCCCGATCTAAAGCTTGATTCGCCCTGCAATCCTGGTCAGAACACACCCCCAGGAGAGGTCCACGGAGCAGCAGCGTCGGAATCCTTCTGGCTTCCCCAGAGATGGGCAACAGTGTGGTGGAGACGGAATAGAAAGAGCAGCAGCAGAATAGAAAGAGTAGCAGCAGATGGAGATCAGCTCTTCATCCTCATCATCATCACCAGCGGCACCATCATCATCATCATCATCATCATCATCATCATCATCATCATCATCATCATCCTCATCGTCATCATCAGCAACAGCAGCATCATCATATCATCATCAGCAGCAGCAGCATAATCAGCATCAGCATCATCATCATCATCGTCAGTCGCATCATCATCATCATCATCATCATCATCATCATCATCCTCATCCTCATCCTCATCCTCATCCTCATCCTCATCCTCATCCTCATCCTCATCCTCATCCTCGCATCATCACTCATCATCATCATCATCATCATCATCATCATCATCATCATCATCACATCATCATCACCATCATCATCATCATCATCATCATCAACACATCATCATCATCATCATCATCATCACCTCATCCACCATCACCATCACCATCATCATCATCATCATCATCATCATCATCATCCTCATCATCCTCATCATCCTCATCATCCTCATCATCATCATCATCATCATCACCATCATCATCATCATCATCATCATCATCATCATCAGCAGCAGCAGCAGCAGCAGCATCAGCAGATTCATCATCATCAGCACAATCAGCATCATCATCATCAGCATCAGCATCAGCATCAGCAGCAGCATCAGCATCACCACCACCACCATCATCATCATCACCATCATCATCACCGCCACCACCATCAGCATCATTATCACAATTATCATCATCATCGTCGTCGTCGTCGTCATCATCATCATCATCATCATCATCATCATAATCATCATCATCATCATCATCATAATCATCATCATCATCATGATCATCATCATCAGCAGCAGCAGCATCAGCAGATTCATCATCATCAGCACAATCAGCATCATCATCATCATCATCATCAGCATCAGCATCAGCATCAGCAGCAGCATCAGCATCACCACCACCACCATCATCATCATCACCATCATCATCACCGCCACCACCATCAGCATCATTATCACAATTATCATCATCATCGTCGTCATCATCAGCAGCATCATCAGCAACAGCAACAGCAGCAGCAGCAACATCACCATCGGCATCATCGTCGTCGTTCCTACTGTCATCATCAGAATAGCCAGCAGTATCATCATCATCATCGTCAACGCCATCATCATCATCATCATCATCATCATCATCATCAGCATCAGCATCGGCATCGACATCGGCATCGCCATCAGCATCCTCATCATCTTCAGCACCACCAGCAGCATCATCATCGTCATCAGCATCATCATCGGCACCAGGCCCCTGCCCAGAATTAACTGTTACGCTCAAGAAAGAAACAGTTGCCCTGGTCCAGATGTACGAGTGCTTCCACGAAAACAGGGAGCTCCGAGGAAACGCCCAGGGCCCCATGCAGATCCTTGACCTTCTCCAAAAAAACTCTGGAGCCCATGAGAGCTCCTGAGGTGTTTTTCCTTGGGACTTCGGCTGCTGGGGAGCCTGGCGCTGAGGCAGGAGCCTGCGGCGGCGGCAAAGGCCTGGGCCACTGTTCCGCATGGCCAGGGAGCCCCGCGGCCGCGACGCCCGCGGCGGAGGTTCGCCGCGCGGCTACGTCGGCGCCGGGCGGCGCGGAGTCGCTCCGCGACGGGGCCCCGCGGGTCGCCTGCTGCCGGGCGGTGGCGGCAGGGAGGCGGGCGACGCGTGCTTCCAGCTCGGCGGCACGCGGCTTCGCGGACGCTGGGAGCGGCTGGCCAGCCGCGGCTGGCCCCCGCGCCGGGGGGCGGGGAGGAGTGGTGGCGTCGTCCAGCGGCGGCTGCCGCACGGGCAGCCCGGCGCTGGCAGCGGGCGCAGAAGGTTGCGTCGGGCGGCGGGCGGCGCCGAAGTCGACAGCGTGCGCGCGCCAAGCTGCGCGCCACGGCAGCCGCAGCCGCGGGCAGGTTGGCCACGGCCGTGGAGAACCTGGTGAGGGCCCCCAGAGGCAGCACTCGGCTCGGTCAGGGTCGCGCCAGCGGAGGGGCCGGAGGGCTGGGTCAGGCTACGTAGTCTGAGGTCGGGCATGTCCTCCTACAGGCGGACTCTGGAGGAAAAATGAAGAAATCCAGAACAAAAATCAAACAGAGTCAAGAGAGCACGAAAGTGCGTCCCCAGACGGTGTTTCTACGATTCTTGAGTGTACTCCTCCTGTAGAGGGACATGCCCGACTCAAGGCCAGTCCACTCGGGGCCGCATCGCTCGACGGAAGCGGGTGTCCACGAGCGCGCCGCGGCTGCGCGTCGGCGGAACGAGACGCGGCCGAGTCAGGGCCGGAGGCGTGAGGCTTCCGGGCCAGGGCTCGACCTGAACAGTCTTTTTCGCTTTCGTTTTTGGTGTCGGCTTCCTTCGTTCTCCGTCGTTCTGTGGCCTGAACAATGTTTTTGGCTTCGTTTCCGTTTCGGTTGGCGCTCCACCTTTGCTGCACAACGAAGCCAAGGCGAAAACGGCCCACGAAATCGCCAAAACAACGCCTAGTTCGAGCCCTGTTTGGGGCTGGAGGCGTCGGAGAGGCCGAGCACGTTCAGAGCTCCAGCTAGTCCGTCGCAAGGCCGGGCTGCGTTCGCGCAGGGGCCAACGGAGGGCGACACACCCGACCTGGCTGGGGGTCGGGCCGAAATTCCGCGGCACGTCCTCGTCCCCGTCCATTGATTGCCAGGCCCAGGCCCAGCGCGTCGGAGTCGTTGTCGCCGCAGCCCGCGGCGTCGCCTACGCTGTCGGGCGCGCGCACTTCGGAAAGGCAACGGGGGTCCCTCGGGTCCATGGAGCCTCCCAGACCCAAGGGACCTCGTCCAGCGGGTCGGCCGGACGCTCGGTCGAACTGCTGGCTGAGGGAGTGCACAGCGTCCTGAGGGACAGGGCACTGGTCAGCATCGATCATAGCGGCGAGATCCTTCGGCGCGTAGCCAGCGCCCTGGTGCCGCGAAACGGCCAAGTCCCACTATATTTGAAACTCCTCCTCCTCCTCGCCCTTCTCCTTCTCATCATCATCACCATCAGCATCAGCATCAGCATCCTCCTCCTCCTCCTCCTCCTCCTCCTCCCCGTCCTCCTCATCATCATCACCATCAGCATCACTATCATCATCATCATCAGCAGCATCATCATCAGCAGCAGCAGCATCATCATCAACATCATCACCTGCGTCATCAGCATCATCAGCAGCATCATCAGCAGCAGCATCAGCATCATCATCATCACCATCAGCATACTCTTCTTCTGCATCATAATCATCATCGGCAGCATCGACATAATCATCATCATCGTCATCATCATCATCATCGTCATCATCATCATCATCATCATCATCATCATCATCGTCGTTATCGTCATCCTCATCGTCATCGCCATCGCCATCGCCATCGCCGTCAGTTTCAACAACAGCATCAGTATCGTCATCAGCACCATTAGCAGCGTCATCGTCGCAACCAACCTCATCACCATGATCATCACAATAAGCATCACCATCATCAGAATCATCACCCTCACCATCATCATCGCTGCTATCATTATCATCATCGTCATCGTCATCTCCGTCATCATCACCACCATCATCGGCATCGCCGTCGTCATCATCATCAGCATCGTCATCATAGTCAGGAATATCATCCTGATCAACACCAGCATCATCGGAACCATGATCAGCATCATCACCATCGACAGCATACTCATCATCATCATCATCATCATCAGCATCATCATCATCATCATCATCATCATCATCATCATCATCTGCATCATCATCATCAGCATCGTCTTCATCACCATCACCACCATCACCACCACCATCACCACCACCACCATTATCATCATCGTCACAACCATCAGCATCATCGTGACCATCAGCATCATCATCATCGTCATCACCATCAGCATCATCAGCAGCATCAGCATCGTCATCATCGCCATCGGCATCAGCAGCATCACCCTCGTCATCGTCATCACCAGCATCGTCATCATTAGCATCAGACTCTCTGTCAGAATCATCAGAATCATCATCAGCAGCAGCATAATCATCACCAGTATCACCGTCATCATCCGCATCGTAATCGTCAGCATGACCATCATCATCATTATCGTCGTCATCATCATCACCATCGCGGTTAAAGCACCGCCATCATCATCATCATCATCACAATCACAAACGCCATCAATATCAACATGTATGTTACCATCATCGCCACCATCATCACCGTCGCAACTATCATCATCGTCACCATCATGTTCATTAGCATTAGCATCATCATCACCATCAACAGCAACACGATCATCATTAGCATCAACATCGCCATACTCATTACCAGCACCAGCACCACCATCATCAGCATCATCATCACCAGCATCATGATAATCACATTCATAATCATCAGCATCAGCATCATAATCAGCATCATCGCCATCTTCATCGTCATCACCATTCCCACCATCAGCATCACTGTCATCGTCATCGTCGCCATCATCATCACCAGCATCGTGATCGTCATCATCATGAGCATCATAATCAGCATCACCATCACCAGCATCATCATAAACGGCATCATCAGTATCTTCATCATCATCAGCAGCATCATCATCATTATCATCATGGTAATCAGCATCGCCATCATCATCACCAGCATCATCATGATCATCAGCATCAGTATCAACATCAGCTGCATCATGATCCACCATCCTCCCTCCTCCCTTCTCCCTCATCCCTCCGTCCGGCGACGACGACAACGACGACGCTGCGCGCTGCCCAGCACGACCCCGCAGATCATCGCCACGAAGATCGCCAGCATGGACCATCCCTTCTCCTCCCCTCGCCCGCGCGAGCTCTAGATGCTTTGTGACTGAGCCCCCCCCTCTCCCCCTCCCTGCTCCTCTTCCTCTCTCCTCCTCCTCCTCCGCCTCCTCCTCCTCCTCCTCCTCCCTCCCCCTCTCCATCCTCCTCCTCCTCCTCCTCCTCCTCATCATCATCATAATCATCATCATCATCATCATCATCATCATCATGTGCCTCCTCCTCCTCCTTCTCCTCCTGCTGCTGCTCCTCATCCTCCTCCACCTCCCCCTGGACGCAGCCATGGCAGCCGAGTCCGCTCCCGACCACCTAGATCGCAGCATGCGGCGGGTGGCGCCGCGTACCACTTGCGCCACCGCCACGGACACGCCCAAGGCCAGACGGGTTAGGCACTGCCTGTGCTGGCTGCCGAGGGGGCCACGCTGGACGAAGGCCGAGGCGAGGGCCGTGTCAGCGCAGCCTGTGCGAGCCTGTGCACAGGCGCAGTCCCGCCAGCCCCGAGACGGCGTTCGGTCCCCCGGGGCTTCTTCAAGGGTTGAACCAGGTCTTGCTGACTTCGGCACCGCCCTCGCGCAGGCCCTTCCAGCACCCTATCTCGCCATCGCTCGGACGTCCATTCTCCGTGCATTTGTTTGACTTCGTGCGTGTTTTTCGTCAAATGATCAAAGATACTCCTCGATGGTCCTCGCCAGGAAAAAATACACACGTCCGAGCGATGCCAAGCTATCCCCCACCCCCAAGCGCTGGGGGCAGGACGGCCTGGACACGGCGCGGACGGGGCGGGCACCGCGCCAGGCCCGCTGGCTCCGCAGGGAGCAGAGCCCACGCGCGAAAACGCCTGCCTCGGCGAAGCGAAGAGCTTGCACGGCGTGGGGGGCTGCCCACAGCCAAGCACCGCGCGTGCATGGCATGGCCGAGGACCCCAGCCAGCGTGCTCCTTTCTTTTCACCAGAGATCACGGTCGCCAGTCGCCAGACGCAGAGCGTGGCCGCAACTCGGACCGGAAGTTCGGGCGGCTGTTCGCCAGAACGAGAGGAGGAAAGTAGGAAGAGGAAGGAACGGGAACAGGAGGACGAGGAAAGAGCGAGGGCGGCGTCGCCGCCAACACTTCGACCGTCCCATGGGCCGACTGCTTTAAAAACCGGCCCCTGCTAGACGTAAAGAAAGCACTGGCCATAGAAGGGGGCGCAGCAGCAGTGAGGAGGAGCAGAGAGAGGCGCACGACCCCAATCAGCGCAGACAGTGGAACAGTGCAGTGCCGACCCAAGGTTAGAAACAATAGGAGGGAAAGAGAGAGAGAGAGAGAGATAGAGAGAGAGATAGAGAGAGAACAACAACAAAAAAACGAGAGAGAGAGAGGGGGAAGAACAACAAAGCATAACAAAACTAGCCGCGACCTGTTCACAGCACCAGGCTCCACAAGTCGGAAGACCAACTGCAGTACAGGGCATAGCACTGCAAGGAGTGCAGTACCGCACCTACCCCAGTCACCAAGGTCCTTGCTGTGGTTATGCAGCGCAGGGCCCCTCTTTGCCCCGCAGACGTGCACGCCTGGAGCAGAGCCTAGCACGTGCGGGCTGGCACGTGGAAGCCAGACGAAACAAAAAACTCTGAGCACTCAGGCATGCACCAGGGGGTGACGGAGAAAAACAGAGTGAGAGAGAGAGAGAGACGAGGGCAGAGGACAGGAGGACTGCAGACGAGCGCGCGGACGCTCAACCCTCCGCGATCGACTGCATCACCATTCCGGGGGGGGGCGAGGACGAGACAGGCAGAGAAGGCGGAACACTCCGCCTTGGGGAACACTCCGTCTGTGTATCTTGTCACGGCGTCCGCCGAAAGCATGCCGCGGACACGGTGCAATAGTGCCCGAGTTCGGAGTCCTGTCACCACTGCCTTCGACGGCGAGCACGAACGGCTCCAGCGCTCCGAAACGAACAGCGACTCAGTCTGGCGGAGCGCAGCACCTGCGATTCCGACATCCTGCAGTGGAGCATGACGGACACCAGCACCATGCCGACGGGCTCTGAGCAGCACGACGGGGGTGCCGGTGGCACGATGCTGTCGAGCACAGCCGGCTTCCGCCATACGACGGGGAACCCCACTACACTGAAGGGGCCCTGGGACACACGAATAAATAGACACAAATAAAAGGATTCCCCATATTTTCCCATATTCTCTGGGTTTCGTCTTCCCCCTCACTTCCCATATGTTCCCATATTGTCCTGGGAATCGACGATATTGTGTCTGTGTTTTTTCCCACCTGATACACGCCAGCAGGCAGCACTTGCGGTTCAAACATCCAAGCATCACGAACGCTGCGCACCACGACGGGCTGCGGCGCAGCACGACTCACAGCGCAGCACGACAGGCTCCAGCAGCGCGACGGCCGCACAGTTGACGGTCTCTTGCCTTTCGCGGTTATCCCACTGTGTGGCGGCATCCTTGTTTCGGAATAGGGCGATTCACTGGCTAGGCATGTCCAGACCGATACGGATGACCGGCACTGGGTGACGATCTCGCTGTTTTCTGATCAGCGCTAGTTCGACACCAACCACTTTTGGAACTGAGCGCTACCACGGCGTCAACCATGACGGAGTCGAGAACCACGTCGACGTTTAAACCAGCGGAAACGAGCACTACCACTGTACCGCGTGCGTGACGCGATCGTACATCAGCACCTGCGCCAGCACCAACGACAGCGCCTACGCCGACACCAAAGCTGGCGCCTACAGCAGCAACCGACATCAGGCCACAACGCCCCGGTTAAGTGCCCAGCTACTGGCGCAAGCATCAACGACCGCGCCGACGCCGGCACCAATGCCGGCGTCTACACCAACGCCGATTTCAGCCCACACGTACGCTATCACCAACACCAGCGCCTTCGCCAGTGCGGACGCCAGCACCGACCCCGGCATCTACGCCTGCGCCTCCGCCAGCACCAACGCCAACGCCTACGCTAGCAGCGACGTCAGCCCCTACGCCAGCAACAACGCCAGCGCCTACGCCGACACCAACGCTGGCGCCTACACCAGCACCGCCGTGAGGCCGCAGCGCACCGGTTGGCTGGGCAACTAACAGTTGCGCAGCAGCGCTCGCGTTCACGCTTGCGCCTACGCCGGCACCATCGCCAGCGCCCCTACACCAGCGCCGACGTCAGTCCATACGCTGTCACCATCTTTGACGCCTGCGCCAGCGCCGACGCCATCACCGTCGCCAGCATCAATGGCTGCGCCAGCGCCTACACTAGCGCCGACGTCAGCCCTTACGCCAGCACCGACGCAGGCGCCTACGCCGACACCAACGCTAGCGACTGCAGCAGCACCGCCGTCAGGCCGCAACACACCGGTTAGTTGGGCAGCTAACCGGTGCGCACCAGCGCTCGCGTTCACGCTTGCGCCTACGTCGGCACCATCGCAAGCGCCTACACCAGAACCGACGTCAGCCCATACGCTATCACCATCTTTGACGCCTGCGCCAGCGCCGACGCCAGCACCGTCGCCAGCATCAACGGTTGAGCCAGCGGCTACCCCAGCGCCGACGTCAGCCCCTACGCCTGCACCAATGCCGGCGCCTACGCCGTCACCAACGCTGGCGCCTACCGCAGCACCGACATCAGGCCGCAACGCCCAGGCTAAATGCCCAGCACCGGCGCTGGCACCAACGTTGGTGCCTACACCAGCACCAACGCTGGCGCCTACACCAGCGCCGACGTCGTCCCATCCGCTATCACCATCGCCACCGCCTTCGACAACGCCGACGCCAGCACCGTTTCCAACATCAGCGCAGGCCAGTCTGACGCCAGCTTCGTACCCGACGCCATCGCCGTTTCCGACGCCAGCACTGTTTTTCGTACGTTGGTCACAAAACCTACCGATGCCGCGACTTCGAAGAGTGACTGAATTACCAGTGGCACGACGACGCGGAGCGGCACGACCGCAACGGCCACCAGCTGCAAGGCTACGACGGCCACCACGAGGTCGACGAGCTCTCCAATACAAGCGGAGCGTTGGCGCTGAGCAGCACGACCATGACGCCCGCGCACACACACACACACACACCCGCCCCGACACCAACATCGACATCAGCATTGACACCAGCATCGACACTGGCATCGGCGCCAACATCGCTGCCTGCTCCGACGCCAGCGCCCCCGCAGGCGCCGACATCAGCTTCGACGCCAGCATCGACACCAGAGTCGACGATAGCTTCCACTCTTTTGCTCGGCAGCTCAGGCGCCGGCAGACCTCTCCTCCAACTCCGACGCCCTTTCCGCCACCGGTTCGGGCGCCGACTCCGACCGCAGCCACGACCACTGGATCCAAGCTCCAACTACCTTCCCGACGCCTAATTTGGCTCCGACTCGTTCATCGGCTCCGACTCCGGCTCCTGTCCCGAGCTCCGACTCGTTCATCGGCTTCGTGATGTGAGGGTCGTTTCGCTGAAGTCTGCGACGACGCTGCTGGAGCCTGACTGCAAGCAGATTCGTAGAGATATTGTACCTTCCTCTCTTGTCTCTTTCCTCCCTCATTTGCCTCCTGGAGGCGGAACGCTGGCTAGTCCGCAGCCAGAAGGCTACGAGGACTGCTGGAGGCGGCGGCGGACCTCCTCCTCCTCCTCGTCCTCCTCCTCGTCCTCGTCCTCCTCGTCCCCCTCCTCCTCCTCTACTTCCTCCTCCTCCTCCTCCTCCTCCTCCTCGTCCTCCTCCTCCTCCACCTCCTCTACCTCCTCCTCCTCCTCCTCCTCTTCCTCCTCCTCCTTCTCTACCTCCTCCTCTACCTCCTCCTCTACCTCCTCCTCTACTTCCTCCTCCTCCTCCTCATCCTCCCCCTCCTCTTCCTCTACCTCCTCCTCCTCCTCCTCCTCCTCCTCCTCCTCCTACTCCTCCTCATACGATGATTATTAGTATTATTAATATTGGTAATAGTAGTATTATTAGTACTAGTATTTTCATTACTCATATTATTATTAGTAAACGTACGAGTATTATCAGTACGATTGGAAAATATTAATACGATTATTACTATTAGTATTCTTATTAGTAATATTATTAATATCAATTGTATTAATATCCTTCGCATTCGTGTTATTACTGTTGTTATTATGATTCGTATCATAAGTATTATTAGTAACATTATTAGTATTACGATTATGAATATTATTATTAGTAATATTATTGTTATTCTCAATATTATCCGTATTCGTATTAATAGTGCTATTACTATTATTATTAGTAGGTGTCCTCCTCCCCCTCGTCAGCATAATCAGCATGGTTTGATGATGACTCATATTGTTATTATTGTAAGCCTGCGAACTGTTGTTAGTACTAGTGGTGTTATCCGCGTTCTTCGTCTCAGTAGTATCAGTCTGATTCGTCTGCTTCGTTGTACCAGTGTTACCTATATGTCTACGAGTAGTCCTAGTAGTATTCTTAGTAGTAGTAGTAGTCGTCGTAGTCGTCGTCGTCGTCGTCGTCGTAGTCGTAGTCGTAGTCGTAGTAGTAGTAGTAGTAGTAGTAGTAGTAGTAGTAATAATAATAGTGGTAGTAGTAGTAGTAGTCTTCGAACTTAGAATATGAGTACGAACATGAGTAGTATCAGTATCATTGCTGGTCTTGTTGGCAACAATATCAGTCCCTCAAGTGTTCGTACTGTTATTAGTATTCATAGCATTAGAAGTATGTGTATACTGCGTGCTCGTAGCGTTATGGGTCATAGTATTCCAAGTAGTAGTAGTAGTAGTAGTAGTAGTAGTAGTAGTAGTAGTAGTAGTAGTAGTAGTAGAAGTAGTAGTAGTAGTTCACGCAGTATCAGTAGCATTCGAATTCGTATATGTGAACTTCTTAATATGGATACGGTTAGTCATATTGGTATGTGTTATTCTTATGTGTTATTCTTATGCCCACATCCTCCTCCACCTCCTCCTCATCCTCCTCCTCCCCCTCCTCCTCCGCCTCCTCGTTCTCCTCCTCCTCCTCCTCCTACTCATCATCTTCCTCCTCCTCACGTCCTCCTCACCTCCTCCTCCTCCTCCTCCTCCTCCGCCTCCTCTTCCTCCTTCTCCTCATCCTCTTCCTTCTCCTCCTCCGCCTCCTCATCCTCATATGGCTCTGTCTCATCATCCTCTTCCTCCGCCTCCTCCTCCTCCGCCTCCTCCTCATTTTCATCCTTCGCCTCCTCCTCCTCCTCCTACTCGTCCTCATCCTCCTCAGCCCCCATCCGCCTCCTCCTCCTCCTCCTCATCATCATCATCATCCTCATGTGTCTCATCGTTCTCTTACTCCGCCGCTTCGTCTTCCTCCTCCTCCTCCTCCACCTCGTCCTCCTCCTCATCCTCCTCCTTTTCCTCCTCCTTCTCGCCCTCTCTCCTCCACATCCTGCGTCTACTCCTCATCCGTCTCCTCCTCCTCCTCCTCCTCATCATCATCAGCAGCAGCAGCATCAGCATCAGCATCAGCATCATCAGCATCATCATCATCAGCATCATCAGCATCATCGTCATCATCATCAGCATCAGCATCATCATCAGCATCATCATCAGCGTCAGCGTCAGCATCATCATCATCAGCATCATCATCACAATCATCAGCATCATCAGCACCAGCATCATCATCAGCATCATCATCATCAGTATCATCATCAGCATCATCATCAGTATCATCATCAGCAGCATCATCACCACCCGTCCCCGCCTCCGCATCCGCCTACGACTCATCCCCCAACACATCCTCCTCCGCCTCCTCTTCATCCTCGTCATCCGTCTCCTCATCATCCTCCGCCACCT